TCGAAGGGCTCTTTTCGCCCAACCATGTGAAGGGTGGAAGAGAGCCAGAGGCGGTCAAACAATGACTTGGCAGCGAAGTATGAAAGCCATTACCAGCAAACTCAGCTGCGCTGGTCATTGCCGTCTTCCTGGATGGGGACCCCGAGACGGGCCACATCAATGGCTAGAGACATTATCAGACATGCCCAGTGGCGCCCTCAACGGCGCTCGTGCATCCAAGCTATTGCCTTCAATGCATAGCTCCTTTTCCAACCCCGTCCCCCATTTGACAGTCCACTGACAGTGCTGGATTTATGCACCAATTTACCAGCTCGCGCGTGCAATGCGCAGCTACCTCCCCCCTCCCCCCAAATCATCGGTGAACGAAACTGCGGCAGCTACAACAACTGTACAATGAGTACGCGGTTAGTACAGCTGACAATGATGATTATGATGATTTTCCCCAGAGATAGCTAGAACTTCCTCAATCACACACCACCAAACACACTGTTCTATCTCTCTGCTTAAAGAATCAACGTTATCGAGATAAGTTTCAATTCAGTGACACACAATATGGCTTCTAATCCCACGAGACAACCTTCATGAACATATGCATCCAGAGTTCGTTCATGGGCTTTACTGTTCAGATCTCCAAGACGCCATCAGTTCGTCAGGCTTAGAGAGTTGAATTTCAGAATTTTTCAAGCAGTTTTGCAATTATCATTAAACAACCTGTTAGAGTAACGATGATATCAGTAAACTGATATAGGAAGGAGCGTCGATGAGGAAGTTTCACTCTCATTTGGACCAAGCGAGCACTTGGTTGTTGGTCTGTTCGCCGAGCTCTCATTTGGAGCGAGCACTTGGTTGTTGGTCTGTTCGCCGAGCTTGGCAGTTGGATTGCAAACGTTTCATCACCAATCGAGGTGACGTCGGTCGTGCAGGGTTGAGTGGGTGAATTCCTCCTCTTCTGTCTGTGATTATATAGCTTCTAAACAGTATCTGGTAGTTCTGGAAACGGTCGTCGTGCAGTTTGATTGGTCTCCTGTGAATCTCGCGTGGTCTCAGTCTCCTGTGTCTGGTTGGTTCGTTGGGTGCATTCAATTCGGCAGTTCTGTATGTGGCTGCCATGCTGTGATTCGGTCGTTTCCTTCTTGCTTTGTGGGGTGGGTTTTGCTCATTTGATTGGCCTTCTGTTTTCCGTGATTGTCTTCCTTTGACCCAATTAGTCCGTTGGTTGCCGTTAGGTTTCTTAGCTCCGAGTCCCGTGACCGTGTGGTTCTTTCGCTCGTAACGGCTGATAGACTGGGTCAATGTCGATGTGTTTATTGATCGATTTTTGTGTGGAGTACCACGCCTCG